ATTGGTGGATAAGCCAGTTAAGCCTGGGTCACGTTCGAAGTCCGCAGATCGCATGCCACGCAAACTCACCTGTTCATTGGCTAGCACACGGAAAGAGTCGATCAGTTGTTCCGCGCTCTCCGAACCCGAGGCCTGTTGAGTCATAAAACGCATGAAAGAGTCGAAGGTGATATAACCTGAGCCAGAGGGATCAACATTGGCGAGGATTCGACGAAAATCGGCGTCTCCCTAGAAGGTAGATACACCGAAATTTCCAAATCGGTTAAAAAATGACCCTAATGATATTAGGGATCAAGGCCCTAAAAAAAACACCGATCATAGATTTGAATTGCCTTCATTACACGGCAATCGACGCATTTTAACTGCACAATGAAGGACGTTAACAGAAAGGTTGGAGATGGGAGAACGGGGAAATGATAAGCCATCTTAGAGGTAATGGAGAGCTGATAAAGAGACCCGAATTGAACTAGAGATTGTCAAAGATTTAATTTTGCCTGTTAAAATGGCCTCGAGGAGAGGATTGGACAGACCCGGACTCAGTAATCAGGGAATCGACAGTCTCAGGTCTGAATCATATGGAGGAAAGTGGAGGGGGTGAACATGCGGTTGGTAAATTAAAGCTTTTAAGCAATCACTTGTTGATACGAAAGCGGAGTTAAATGGATGCTAAAGGCTTCTTTAAAGATGTTTGGAAAAATACGCCCATCGCATCAATCTTTCATCTTTTTTCAATGGACTGTAAGCTAACTGCGAATCCTACTTTGATAAAGTGCTTTGTCCCTGGAGGAAAAAAAACACGAAAAAAAATGGTCCTAGCTGCCCTCCCCAACTGCATAGCCATCTTCACATTAGATCAAGAGATTGTCGAGTGTTGGTGCCAAGAATGAAGAAAAAACATCACTTCTAAAATGTCATCAAGATTATCACAGCGTCAAGTACGAGGTATGAGGTTTGGCTTTGACATGTAACCTTAGAAAAGGGGTATTCCTCCAACTGGCTGATCAACTAGTCCTGATTTTCTCAAGTGTAAGTTTTTCTTGCATGCCTCTGGGTGAGATGATCAGTTTCTGCGGTAACTGTAAGGTTAGTTTGTAGAAAGTGGGAGAAGCCCAGCTAACAGTCATTTCTGCACACACACACACACACGCAGACCCATAAAATTCATGCACAGTGGTCTGAGAATGTCACGGTATGCCTTAAAAGCGTGGGGTAGAGAGTGGGCCCATTGTTGGTGGCCAATGTTATGTCCATTTGCTAGACGAATGTTGAAGGGTAGCATGAAGGTCATTTCTCCTCATAGATTAGTCACAAATCTGGAAGGTGAAGGATAAGAAGGCAAATACAGGAAGGTGGAGCTCATCTGAGAAGTAGTCGAGACGACTGTTCCCGATATTTGGATCCCAAATAACTTCCTATCGGCGTGGTGACCTTCAAAAGGTCTTTCTGAACCCGATCTTGGATGGTAATTTATGGCACCGCATACCCAACTTTTTTGAATGCTACCCAATAAATGTGACGATAACTACATCAGGTCAAATTTCATCCACCAACTTGAATCCACCTTTTAGTGAGTAAGGCAGAATAAAGTCATGGTGACGGACTGAGACATTTGTATCCCTTATAGCTCAAGTTTCGCAGTCATGAACGTCCAAAATATAACCAACATGAGAAATGGGTACGGTGTTGAGAATCAGGTCCGATGTGCTGAATAATGAGTGCTGCCTTCCCTCCTCCCAGCAAAACCGTATGATCTTGAGGGATGGAAAACAATTTCCTCCACTTTGCGTCGATAAACAAGTTGCCGCTCGGAACGGCATTTTTCGCCTCCTGCCATGTGGACTTGTCTACGTGATGCGCCTGCGTGCAAGGGAGAATTTGATAAATTATTTTCCTGCAATATGCTGCAGTGATGGGGAATTCAAGCAGCAGGCACAGATGTTTAGGCGAAAGGCTTTGCATCCACTGCTATTTTAACGCTACCCTAAAGTGGGAGGAGAGAGGGGCACGTCACTGCTTGAAGGACTTTTTATGTTTTATATTGCCCATCTAAATACACTATGGATACGTGATGCCAAGAGGCCACATTCTCTTCCTCTGAAGTACTCTTGCTCGCCACTTCAAACGTTATTGTGAAGGAGAGAGTAACCTGTTGTCAGAAGTCATTCTTACATTCTACTATTGCCAACAGTAACAGCGGCAACCAGGGAGCAAAAAGTCCACAGGCATAACTTTTTTTCATTCCACTGCCAGAATAGGTCATCCTTTCCAGCTAGAAATACAAGAGGTTGCTTGATGAATAGGAAAGCGGACGCTTTTGGTAGCCAGGGGATTGCATAGACAGAGAGAATTTGGTTTTGTGTGGGACCACTAAGTGATTCTAGAAAGTAGCGAAATCAATGAAATGAAATGATATCATGTCAAAAGGTCAAGATCGTTTGGTGATATCATGTTTGAAAAAAAATGCCGAGATTATTCCAGATAATTTTGACACAAAAGTGGTGCGTAAGCTTTGAATCCAAGGTACTGCTACGAGAAGTAAAAAAACAGACATCCTCAGCTTTCATCAATTTCAACAAAACCGTCATGATGGAGGGTGCACGATATCCGCAAATAGGATGAAAGAGGTCACGATTCACAATTAATGGTATATAAGGTGATATACACCTCCCTTCACGTATATTTGAGGATTGTGACGAACGTGTTAAAAGGTTGCGCTGTGGAGAAAAACACTCATATGTCGTGGAAAGTACACTTGATGAAAAATATTATCCAGCTACAGGCAATTTTATGTGCCTAGTTTTAGTAATCCAATTGGTAAACAGGAAACGTGATTGGTGGAAAATACCTCGCCCTGATTCCACGACTCGTTTTATTTCCATGCCAATTGATGTAGAAGATAGACTTACAATGATTAGACATTCGTTTAGTGAGGCTTTTAATTTTCAGAACTTTTCCTCCCTCTTGGTAGCGTGGCCGATAGGCCACGCCTATATAACCTATCCTGCCCCTACAGAAAACCCCCAATAGCCCTTTCTCCTAAGGGAGAGGAGCCAAGCGCAACACTGGTGACTACCGTCTCTGACCCGACTACTTTGTGCCGGTCAAAAACGAAAAGTGTTAAAGTGGGTTTCGAGGCCAAGGCTCAACCTATCCTGTATACTTAACTAGGTGGGCAGTTTGTACCTTGTCGTTGGGGGAAGACTCGAGGGGCTATAAATCCTAGAGGGCGCCAATACCGGACCTCGGTCTCCCATTATTGCCATCAAACGCTCCAGATATCTTAAGGTTAATCACTCAGATTACGTGATTATTGAATAAACTGCTGGACACGCAAAGTAGTGAGGGGCCGTATCGCTGGGTAGACATGTAGACTAGCTGTTTGACACAGAGACAGGTGGAATGTGGTGGCCAGATGAGTGAATTTATGAATGACTGATTGATGGGACAGATGCCTGACAAATAGATGGCCATATGAATGAACGGACGGATGAAAGGAGGCATGAATGTATGGGTTGTTGTATGTAAGAATGACGAAGAGACAGATAGTGAAAAGCAAAGTGATGGAGGAAAATGAAGACATGCAGACAGACAAACAAAAGTAAACAACTCACCTCCGGCGTATTGGGGATGTTAAATCCCAGCGAGACCAGACAGGCCTTAAACTCCGAGAGGTCCAATCGTCTCAACCGCTTACGATCAAAGTGGTTGAAGCAGCGTCGAAAGTCGTTCAATTGGGCCTCACTAATGTTGTGAGCCTCGCGAGTCATGATCTGCACCTCCACCTCGTTGATTGCGCGTTTTAGATTGGTGAGAAATTGTTCCCAACCCAGACGAAGTGTGTCCATGGTGTACTGGGTCTGAGGCACTGTGTAGACGCCATTTTCTTGTAATTGCTTTAAAAAAGAATAAAAGTCTAGGTCATCCAATGAGCCTAACGTCGAAATTGCTTTGAAATTCCACAACGAAGAAGTTTGGTTGCGAATATGTAATTGCTAAAGCGTGGACTCGGGATTTAAGAACCCACAGATTGATGGACAGACAAAGGGGTGGGATAAGAATGGAAAGGGAAAAAGGACAAAACTAGCAAAGGAAAATTTGCCAACATTGAGTGGGTTCAGCAGTATCGTTCATTCCGCTATAACCATTCAACGATCCTCTCAAACTGTTCTAAAATTATGCGAATCCTAGAGTGGCATATTTTCGAGAGAGGGATCTGCATTGGAGGTCTACATGGGTAAGCAACTAGGCATGTAAATCTAGACTATGTGGAAGGATCAGAAATACGCAAATATATGGATGAGATGGGAACGTGAAATAACTTTATTAAGAAGTTGGGGAGGGCATGAATGAGTTTGTCGGACCAACTGGGAAATATGGCTAAACTTCAAACTACAATCCCATCCCTCCTAATACCCAACTTTAATGAAAAAGGTCGTGAAAGGCAAGGATAGTCAACGTCGTAGGCAACAAATGGGAGGCAGGAGAGGAAGTGGAGGAGAGTACTGGCCTCAACAGCTTTCAAACTTATCCCCATTCAAAATACTACTTTACCAATCTCCTTTTGAATGATTTCTTCAAAGGTGATTGAGAATGAGTATTCAGTACTACAAATGCCACTAAGTGACTTCAAAAAAGTGGGAAATGCAGAAGGTGCCCCGTAGGGGGATTCATTGAGCTGACCTTGTAATTTCGATGCATCCATCCACCCTGTGTCCGTTCATTAGCCCCTCTGTCTCCCTTTCATTCATCCCTAAGTAAGGTTTAATAATCCCATTTAATTTTTTGACAGACCCAATACTGGCTGTGGATAACTGGACACTAGGATGAGCCTAACTGATTCACCTAGAAGTTGGGAGCCAAGTTTGATATTCACCCTTATCTACATGAATGCAAAATAAGTTAATGACAAATAAGTAGTCTGCCCTTCAAAATATGAGACAGGATGGCGGTGATGAAAAGTGAGGTGAGACGAAAGCAACAGCATTGCACGGTGTCTGTCTAAAACCAAATGTAAAGAGTCAAATGGTGGAAAACTGCATGCCTGTATGCGCCACAAAGCCTAGATATGCGTCGGTCCGTCGGTGCGGTGCTCCATGTTGTGCTCCCTTCTACAAATCGCCTCTTCCTTTATGTGAAATGCCAGTTGAATGTGGTGGGTGTGTGGTTTGCACCTGTCTGCTTTACACATGTCAACTTAGTCACTTTAAAGAAGACTAGGGGAAAGGAGAATCACGTATCTTAGCAAATATGTCTTTAAGAAAAAATCTTTGGGGAAAATTTTCAGTTGGTTTATGGCTGTGGTGGATGTGGAGGAAGAGCGTCTCTACAACTCTAATGCCTGGTGCCAGCCGTCTAGTCAGGGTAGCCGCGAAGTTGGTGTTTCAAAAAGCGGAAGAGGATGGGAAAATATTTTCATAATTCTTACCTCTGAGTATCTTTTGAGAAGCAGGGTGCTTTGAGGGTGTTTAAGATCCAATTTTAATAATCAATCCATTCGATGTACATCTGAATGATCATGAAAGAAGTGGATCCAGTGGCAGGGTTGATCATCAATGCTTCCTCTGCTAAATGACTTACAAAAGCCATGGAAATATGAGAAGTATGTAGAAGTCAGACCCAGAGATCTTTCATGGTTAAATAGCCGTGTGCTCCCAAAAAACCTACTCCCTTTGATAGGTCATGCATGAAGCTGAGAAGGCGAACTGGAGACTGGTTCAGCCTTACGTGAGATTTTGAATCTCCAGTAACTTGGGCCACAGAGGCTGGGGAATTGAACGCATTCCATGACCAAGAGTAGCCAATGCCATAAGTAGTAATTCAGGCGAATCAGCCCATCCACCACGGTTTTATGCAGAAATAACTGTAAGATCTGGCATCCATAACATACCCTATCCCCTATCAAGCGTCCTCCCGCCTTAATTACCAAGTGTCCCGAAAGGAGTTGGAAATTTTGGACCACCCTCAGTGAAACCAGGGCAAATTTAGGCTTTAGCTACATTACTGGGTTAAACAAGCTCGATAAAAGAAAACATTTAACTCACTTGTGTGGCCAATTAGGAGGATGTCTAGTTTTATTTTTTTCGGATTCGATCATCACCACAGTGGGGTAAAGGCGTGTCCACATTGTCGATGTTACTGGCTTTCTGCTGGTTGCTCATAAAGCTGCTTTCTAGATTAACCACCATATCTAACTCTTGCATAGTATAAACCACCACACTTTCAAGACGCAGGGTCGGAAAAGTTTCCTGCTTCACGTTCTTATCTCAAGATATGCATTTTGACTATTAACGGTGTAGGACAAACTTTGAAAAAGACTACAGTAAGGGAAATCGGAGAATGAGGAGAAAGAGAAGGGGCGAGTAGACGGCTGGCAGGATTGAGGTGGCAGTTGGTGGAGGAGGTGACAACAAAAGAATAGAAGGGAAGTGAAACGTGAAGGAGTTGCTTCAGATTGTGTGGATTTAAAAATATTTTCTTTTTACGGTAAGCATGAATAGTTTCTCAAAGTTGTTTACGAAAATAAGTCCCATGGCGACAATCTATCATCCTTTTCAACGGTCTGCAAGGGGTCTGCAAATTCCACTTCTATCAAGTGTTTTGTCTAGATAGGGAAAAATAAAGACGTGGTCCTCGCTAACCCCGATTCCGTGGCACCTCTATTCTCCCCAACCAGATTTCCTGATACATATGAAATGAAGTGAGTGTCCATTGCTGGTGTCAAGAAAGGGGGGGATATGGATGACAATGCGGTGGGGTCGCAGGACCTTTTGACCCCGCCTCAACCAATCGAATCCCAGCGTCAGGTTTGTGAAACATGAGGTATGCTGTCTTGTGTTGTCATGTAAAACCAAGAACAGGACCTTGTCCCTATCGGCTTATTCACCTAACATTGATGATCCTCAAACTCTACCGTATGCAGGTGAATGCTGTCCAGTAGGTGCACCCCAGCCCTAATTATGGCACGATCCTCAACGCGCATCCAAGTTCTAGTTAAAGCACACTTGTGTCTTTCGAATGAGGTCGTCCGTACCTCGCAAGCGTGGGATGAAGGATGATGGATGATAAGTGAGGTAGTGTTTGCATCGCTTGCACATAAGGGTGGGAGTCAAAGGCACAGGTCATCTCTAATCGCAAGCCGATCAGTTACCGAGCCATCTAGAATGTGGCTCCTCTTTATGAGGTAAAGAATGAAGAATAAATTAACAGCTGTTGAAAATTTTTATCATCTGTGGCATTTACTTACTCAGCAGCCACCACAACTACTTCCTTCCAGTCGATGTGGCTGATAGTAAAATATCTTCTTCGCATTCACGTTAAACCTAACGAAAGCTGTTTTGGGGACACGTAAATGTCGAATTAGCCTGTTAATGGCGACGCGTACCTCTTTATTATAAAGCATCGAAAGTGTTTTTGAACGCGACGTAGCATGAAACTGCTTGGATCAAATCATTCTGGATGACAGAGTGTTCCCCCACCTGAATCGCATTCATTAAGTTCAACAGACTAGTAAAATTAGTAGAAAGAACAGTAAAGACTGCCACATCTACAGCCCGAAGCACAGATAACCAATGGCTGTAAATACATTTGTGCAAACACTTTTGGCCATCTCTTACCAGTTCTACAAATTTTTCCTCAAAATTACATGCTATGGAACCGGGAAAAAATCCCGGTTTAGTATATCCCGTTACGCCTTTCCCACCTCGGACAACATGCACACGGATGGATGAGTCATCCAACAACTGCCTGGAGAAGCCGGACAACAACGCACCTGGTAGCAGCGCTCCGCTTCCATAATGACGGGTTTCATCTTCTCCAACTCCTCTTCCATTCTCTTAAATCCGCCCATCTGTTGCTCCAGGGAAGCTGTCGTGGGATTACTTTGGGCTGCAAACAATGCATCTAGAGCGCGCTCTAACCAAGGTCCCAATCGGTTAGCCTGCATGGCGAATTGGGCGCGCAGTTGTTCGTTGCGTTGCTGCTTTGCCAACTCCGATTCCAGGGCTGAGTCACGCTCAGGCACCAGCTTCTGAACGCAGCCCCAGCGGTCGTGAAGAGTCTACAGAGGCAGTAGGAATAACTTTGTGCAGTATTTTAGGTCAATATGACTCCATGGTGGTGGATCCACTTAACCCTCAACCCATAACTAGCACAGCTAATCATGCCCTGACCTCATTAAAAGTTATTCACTCTGGTCTTGGGGCTAGATGGCATCAGGATGGATGGTGTATGATACGCCTTTGGAAACTGCCGCGCTCTAGGGGCAATCCTCATCACCTCGTCCCTCACTCCACACTTGTAAGGTACGCACGACTTCTTTTGGAAGAAATCTTGCGTGCAGCAAAGACGCAACGGTCCGTTGAAGAACGATACACATACGATACAGGTTCAGAAACCTCCAGGAAGAAGGAAGGCCCTGTTCTTAGTCTTACATGACAATTCAAAGTAGATTTATAAGTCGAAAAGGCATCAAATAGAGCACTGTCTGCACAGAGATCCTATTTTCTCTCCTTCTATATCTTGCGACCTCTGCATTTCCATAGTGGGTTAAGGCAGGCTATCCTGCCCTATGTGTCAACTTTACTGCCCCAAAGCCTCACCTCGTGTGTAATCATGGTGTAGGGATTGACGGCCACCTCACGTGGTAGGTCGTGCTGTTCAACCAAACGGTCAATTTCACCAGCCTCGCGAAGCATTGAATTCAACTCCTCCTGGGCTGCGGGCAATGCGCGTTTGAAGGCTTCGTGGCCGTTTATCAGTTGCTAAAAGGTCACGGGGGAAATTACAGTTTTATAGGCTCGATTACTTCCCCAGAGGTGTATCGGGTGTTCCAACAATGGCAGCGTGGTGGAACATACTGACTACACAATGTGGTTATTCTCCTCACCAATTCGATAAAAATCTGGTGCCAGCCTCCAAGTCCCCATAGATACTTATTAAAGGAATATATTAGGTTTGAAGGTGTAGCTACCCACCTATCATCTACCTATTTTACGGTTTTGTCCTGATAGCAAGAAAATGAGACTGAGGGGGTGAGGGGTAAACTCACCGAAACCTCTTCCACTCGATCCGCAATGAACATGTCTTGCAAATCTTCCTCCGCCTGTTCCAACCAATTGGAAAAGGGCTAAAAATCTGTAAGTTTTTCAGAGCGGTAGAACCTACACCAACACGTCTAGCGAAGGATTGTTGCAGATTGTCAATCTTCTTTAACACCTCCAACCGTTTCTACAAATACATCCAGTGAGGCTCAGGTGTGACAACACTTACGTCAATTTCTTCTTTCCTCCTAGCTGATATCTCTCCCAGCCTGTCCCACTGAGAGACAATATCTTGTGTCCTCTTGTTCACACTGATCACATCCTCGTATTGAAGGGCACTAAAGGGAGAAGAGTAAAGAATTGTGCGATAGGTCATACTTCAGTTCCTCCGCGATTGATACAATCCTCTCGACACGATTCTGATGAGCACCTAGATCAGTCTCGAAGGCGTTCTGCTTTTGGGCCATAGCAGTAAGCTCAGCATAGGAGGCATTTTCGTAGTCGCGTGTACTCAATGTCGCCTCCTTGTCCTTGGACCAGGCCTCATGGGTAGAGCACTTCAATCTGAACTTTTTGACTAGATAGTCAAGTTGTTCCAAACGACGAATTTCGTTAAGAAGCCAGTCCTGAAAGGTAGAAACCAAGCATGAAGGGACCAAGGGGTGGAGGCATACATGGAGTTAAGGCGAGTGACCACAATTGGAATGGAGGGGTAGCCGGATGGCTGGATGACTTTGAGATGGGTAACATGACGGATAGGGGGAAAAATTGGTGGAATAATGATAAACTGATCTAGGATAAAATCATACCTCTTCAGTGACTTCTCAAATCAGTCGATTATGGCAGATAAAGGTCCATATTTGCACAAACAAACCCACTTCAGATCTTAGAATTTGCTCACAAACCGATGGAACCGGAGCAAAGGGAATGCGATGATGAGGGAGTGAGCCAATGAACCGTCAAGACAATGAATGTGCAGATCGCTGCCAGATGGATGGAAGGTGAAACGGGATAGATAGACAGGTCGTGGAATAGACGGCAGGATAGATGAATGATAGGTGAATAGATGATTTGTGAAATCCTTTTTTAAAACAAGAATAAACTGGGGATAAAGCAAGGTCAGATGATGTATGGGTGAATGGATGAGTAAATAGGTGAATACTTCCGAGTCAGACAGGTAAATATGTAGATATATTAAGGAAAAATGAATGTGTGGAGTAATAAAAGGCGGATCAGGGGTCAGTAGAAGAATGGTTGAATTGGGTAAGAAATGAGCGAGGATAGATGAACGAAAGCAAAGGTATAACCGCCGACAAAGAAAGGGTGGATGCAACTGTGGTGGATGAAGTAAATGGTACACAGACACGTCCCTGAAGGAACACATCTAAGGTGGATGAAAGGAGAAGTGAAGAAGAGTGTGCTAGGTAGATGAGTTTTTTGGAGGTGTAGAGAGGTCAACTCCTTACAAGTGCTTGTCAGTAAGAATTTCGCAAGAGCGTACAAATGTGTCATGGTTCTTGACAAAGGATTTGACACGACATTTACCATCCACCTGTACTCTTCAAATTCAGCACTAAAATACGATGCCCCTGTTGTTTTTGTTTTTTCCCACAAAAATGACAGGATTTGATAGCACTTTTAAGGAAAGTGAAGTGCGTTTAAAAACATAAGACATCACTTTTAAACAGATAAAAAATGAAGTTCTTCACCATCGCACGTCGAGTAACAGAAAATTAGGCGTTAGGACATCATTACTTGTTGGAAAGCTTTTTCAACGCCCCCATAAATCAACTGTAGCTACTAGAGCTGGTCAGTCATGTGAAGCGCTTTCCACTTTTCAGACCACTCATGCTCGACTTCACCGGGATAACTTTACCACTTCATTAGGCACGCATGCTGCTGATCTGATCCGTTTGAGGTATTGTTGAGTGGACTGCCAAGGGACAAGGTGAAGGAGCTGCTGATGCCGAAATGAACAAGGTAGGTGCAGGATTGGTTGGGGAGATAGATTTGACAAAATCCATCGTCGTTGACAGCTTTAATATTTCTTATAAAACCAGCTCATAAGCCAGGGATTACAACCATCAACATCTGTCTGTTTGGCCTTAAAGGGAGAAATCTGCTGCATGGAGAGCAAATTTTAGGGTCATGGATGCCTGTTTTACTGCGAAATTCGCCTCTAGTCACTATCAAGATTGCAACATAAAGTTTGGTGGCCTTGCACCCCCTGATGGTTCCCATCTACTTGAAGCAGGGGAAAAAACTGTAAATGAACCGGCAAATAAATTGGAAGAATAAAAAAGTCGAGTTGCCGTCGATACTTTGCATCAAGAAAAGCTTCATATAATTTAAGGGATCTCTGAAATTTATAAAAGTCATTACTTAATCAACGTCAAAGAGGGACCAGACGGGAAAGCATCATCATCCAAGGAGACAAGAAACGCAGATCTCTT